GTATCTCATTGTGGTTTTGATCTGCATCTCCTTGATGATTAATGATGTAGAGCATTTTCTCATGTGCTTTTTTGCCATTTGGATTTCTTCTTTGAGAAAGTTTCTGTTCATTTCATTGCCCCATTTTTTGATGGGGTTGGATGTTTTCTTCTTGTGGAGTTCAACCAGTATTTTGTATATCCTTGATATCAACCCCTTGTCAGATGTGTATTCGGCAAATATCCTTTCCCATTCTGTAGACTGTCTTTGTATTTTGGTCACTGTTTCTTTTGAGGTGCAGAAACTTCTTAGTTTAAGATAGTCCCATTTATCTATCTCTGTTTTCACTTGCTCGACCAGTGGTGTGGCATCTTTGAAGATACCATTAGCTTCAATGTCTTGGAGGGTTTTGCGAACTTTGTCTTCAATGTACCTTATGGTTTCTGGTCTGATGTTGAGGTCTTTAATCCATTTTGATCTTACTTTTGTACATGGTGTTAGGTAGAGTTCTGAGCCCACTTTTTTGCATGTAGCCGTCCAGTTCTGCCAGCACACTTTGTTAAAGAGGCTTTCCTTACTCCATTTCACATTTTACTTGCACCTTTATCAAAGATTAAATGATCATATGAATTAGGGGAGATGTCAGTGTATTCAACCCTATTCCACTGGTCTTCAGTTCTGCCTTTGTTCCAGTACCATGCTGTTTTGATTATTACTGCTTTGTAGTACAGTTTGAAGTTATGGAGGTTGATTCCTCCCATTTTCTTTTTCCCAAGAATTGCTTTAGCTATTCGTGGGGGCTTATTGTTCCATATAAATTTCAGGAGTGTTTGCTCCATTTCTTTGAAGAATGTCATGGGTATCCTTATAGGGATTGCATTGAATTTACACAATGCTTTCAGTAGTATTGCCATTTTGACAATGTTAAGTCTCCCGATCCATGAGCAAGGGATATTTTTCCATTTCCTCATGTTCTCTTTTATTTCCTGAATTAGCGTTTTGTAGTTTTCTTTGTACAGGTCCTTTACTTCCTTAGTTAAGCTGATTCCTAGGTATTTGATTTTCTGGGGCACAATTGTGAACGGGATTGTTTTTTTCATGTCGCTTTCTTCTCTCTCACTGTTTGCGTATAGGAAAGCCATGGACTTTTGGGTATTGATTTTATAGCCTGCAACTTTACTATACAAGTCTATTGTTTCTAGGAGTTTTTTGGTGGAGGTTATTGGGTTCTCTAAGTATAGTATCATAACATCTGCGAATAGTGAGAGCTTGATTTCTTCCTTTCCTACCTGAATGCCCTTAATATCTTTTTCTTGCCTAATCACTATTGCAAGTACTTCCAGTACTATATCGAACAGCAGTGGAGATAGTGGGCATCCTTGTCTCGTCCCTGATCTTAGAGGGAAGGCTCTCAGTTTTTCGCCATTGAGGATGATGCTTGCTGTAGGCTTGTGGTAGATGGCTTTAATTATGTTGAGGAAAAGTCCCCTCTATACCCATTTTGGCTAAGGTTTTCATCATAAAGGGGTGCTGGATATTGTCAAATGCTTTCTCTGCATCTATTGATATAGTCATATGCTTTTTATCTTTTCTTTTGTTGATATGATGGATTATATTGATTGATTTCCGAATGTTAAACCATCCTTGCATCCCTGGGATGAATCCTACTTGGTCATGGTGTATGATCTTTTTGATGAGTAGTTGGATTCTATTTGCTAATAGTTTGTTGAGGATCTTTGCATCTGTGTTCATCAGGGATATCCGTCTGTAATTCTCTTTCTTTGTGGTTTCTCTGTCTGCTTTTGGTATCAGTGTGATATTTGCTTCGTAGAAACTGTTTGGAAGTGTTTTTGATATTTCAATTTCGTGGAAAAGCTTAAAGAGGACTGGGAGTAAGTCCTCTTTAAAGATTTGGAAGAATTCACTAGTGAATCCATCCGGGCCAGGACTTTTGTGCTTGGGGAGACTTTTTATTACCATTTCAATTTCCTTGATGGTGATAGGTCTGTTCAGGTATTCCAGGTCTTCTTGGTTCAGCCTTGGGAGTCTGTAGGAGTCTAGGAATTTATCCATTTCCTCGAGGTTTTGATGTTCCGTGGCATACAGTTTCTCAAAGTACTCCCTGAGGATCCTTTGAATTTCTGTAGTTTCTGTTGTAATGACCCCCTTTTCGTTTCTGATTCGGTTTATTAGGGTTTTCTCTCTCCCTTTCTTTGTGAGTTTTGCTAGAGGCTTATCGATCTTGTTAATTTTCTCGAAGAACCAGCTCTTGGTTTCATTGATCTTTCGGATTGTTTTTTGGGTTTCCATCTCGTTAATCTCTGCTCTGAGTTTTATTATTTCCTTTCTCCTGTTCGGGTTGTGCTCCTTTTTTTGGTCCTTCTCCAAGCTCTTAAGCTGTGAGATTAGGTTACTTATGTGTGCTTGCTCCTCCTTCCTGAGGAATGCTTGTAGAGCTATAAACTTTCCTCTTAACACAGCTTTTGCTGTGTCCCATAAGTTTTGGTAACTCGTATTCTCATTTTCATTCGTTTCTAGGAATCTTTTGATTTCCTCTTTGATTTCCTGTCTAATCCACTCGTTGTTCAATAGTGCACCGTTTAATTTCCAGGTGTTTGATTTAGTTTTCTGTTTTTGTGTGTGATTTACTTCTAATTTCAGCGCATTATGGTCTGAGAAGATTGTCGATACAATCTCTATCTTCTTAATTTTATGGAGGCATGTTTTGTGGCTCAGCATGTGGTCTATCTTGGAGAATGTTCCATGTACGCTTGAGAAGAATGTGTATTCAACTTTTTGTGGATGAAGTGTCCTGTATATATCTACTAAGTCCCTTTCTTCCATTGTTTCCCTCAGATGAAGTATGTCCTTGCTAAGCTTGAGTCTGGTTGATCTATCAAGAGGTGACAAAGCGGTGTTGAAGTCTCCCACTAGTATTGTGTTGCTATTGTTGTCTTTTTCCAAATCTATGAGTAGTTGTTTTAAGTACTTTGCTGGTCTCTCATTAGGTGCATATACATTTATTATTGTAAGTTCTTGCTGTTGTACAGATCCTTTGATCAATAAGAAATGGCCTTCACTGTCTCTTATGACCTTCTTCACTCTGAAATCGGTGTGGTCTGATATTAGGATGGCTACCCCAGCTTTTTTATAGGAGCTGTTTGCCTGTAGGATTGTTTTCCAGCCTTTGACTCTGAGTCAGTGTTTGCTTTGACTATTGAGATGTGTTTCTTGCAGGCAGCAGAATGTTGGGTTCAATTTTCTAATCCATCCTGCCACTCTATGTCTTTTAATTGGTGCGTTTAGCCCATTGACATTGAGAGAGATTATTGTTATGGGATTTTGTCCCAATGTTCTGTTGAAATTTGGTGTATTTGAGGGGTCTTTCTTGCCTTAAAGTAGCCCATTTAGTTGTTCTTGTAACCATGGTTTTGAGTCTATGAAGTTCCTGAGCTGTTGTTTGTCTGTGAAACTATGTGTTGTTCCTTCTATTATGAATGAGAGTCTCGCTGGGTAAAGTATTTTTGGAGAGGCATTTATTTCATTGAGTTTTTTCACTGTGTCCCACCACTGTTTTCGGACCATGAGGGTTTCATCAGAAAAATCAGTGTGAATTTTAAGGATGCTCCTTTGTAAGAGATTTCTTTCTTCAATCTTGCTGCTTTCAGAATTTTGTCTCTGTCTAAGGTTTTGGGCATTTTGATCAGAATGTGTCTTGGGGTATTTTTATTCAGATTTCTTCTAGCTGGTACCCTTCAGGCCTCCTGAATGTGGTCACAAGTTTTCTTCAGCTCTTGAAACGTTGTAGCAATGATGTCTTTGACGGTTTCTTCTTCATCAAGGTTTTCTTCCTGTCCCTCTGGGACTCCAATAATTCTTATGTTAGCCGTCTTGGCTTCTTCACGATCTTCTCTTGCCATCTGTTCCCGAATAGTGAGTCTCTTTTCCATTTTCTGCTCTTTCCTGGAGAGTCTCTGAACTTCATCTTCGAGCTCACTGATTCTGTTCTCAGCGGCTGTTACTCTGCTGCTGAGGCCTTCCACTGAGGTTTTCAATTTGCCTACCAGGTTTTTCAGGTGTGACATTTCCGATTGCATTTTCCTCATTTCTGCCTTCAAATCCTCTTGTCTTTTATTGGCATTGCTTTCCATTGTGTTTCTTTTAGTTCCCTAACCATCCTAAGTAGCTCCCTTCTGAATTCCTTGTCAGAGAGGTTGTCTAACACTACAGTACTGTTGATGTCTTCTGGGCTAGCCTCTTCAATAAGAAAGCTTGGTGGGCTTTTGCGTTGCTTTACCATTGTGACAAGTGTGGTTTAGTCCTTCACGTTCGCTGTTACTATTCTGCTTGATATGCAGTGTGAGTTGAGATAGGCTTATGAGTTATTGGCTACTGAGTTTCTAGTGGCTGAGCTAAAATAGAGAAGATTCCATCTAAGAAGGTAGCTTATGGTTTCTAGGGCATATGTAGTGGGAGAATATTTCGCGGCCGCGTGGCTCCAGAAAGGGTCCCTGCGCTGGTCCCACGCAGATCAGGGGAAAAAACCGACTGTCCTATGAGATCGAGCTAGCTGCGCATGCCCAGAGAAGAGTCCCAGGCCTTGGGGGCAGGCTGTACCTGAATGGATGGGGCTAAGTTGTCATTCTTTAAAAGGAGAAAGTAAACCAAAGTTTGTCCTTCTTAATTGAAAGTAGCCATGAGCAAATCTATACTTAAAGCTGAGGATATGCTTCAAACGTAACTTTTTTGATTTTCTGTGTTTGCCTAGGTCTCTAATTCTTGGGTGATAGTTTGCCTTGTTGCGTACCTCTCTAATGGATCAATGATAAAATGGTTAAAAAAAACTTTTTTAGCTTTTCTCTATTTTGAAGATTGGTGTCAACTTCCAAGCTCTCTGCATATTGAGGCAGAAAACAGAAGTCCTCTCTTAATTATTTACCTACTTTTTTGGAATGAATATCAGTTTTTTTTATTATTAAATTCAGTCATATGGAAACAGCTTGGTGCCTTTGTTTGTGCAGGTTGAAAGAACATAACCTTGTGAAAGAACTGCGGCCCCGGGACCTCCTTGAGAGCAGCAGTGACAGTGATGAGAAGGTCCATGTGACAAAGTCCTCCTCACTGTCCAAGCGAAAACTTGAGCTTGAGGTGGAGACAGTGGAGAAGAAGAAGAAAGGGCGGCCTAGGAAGGACTCCCGGCTCATGCCTGTGTCTCTCTCTGTCCAGGTGAGATCAGTTGGGGCCCATGCTGCTTTCCCCAACACCTGAGCATTCAGAACTGGTCCCACATGTGCTTAAGTGGGAGAAAGGAAGCCTGAAGGCTAGTGTTGCCTCATTGCTGTGGACACACTGTCCCAGAGAGAGCAGAGACCACCTTCCATACCTGCTCTCCATCCACCCAGAGTCTTTGAGAATCTCCTGGGAATGAGCTACATTGACTGTAAGGTGGGGACCAACTTCCACCCTTGTAGTGGATAGAAATACCCAGGGAATAGGCCTCTCCTAACCCTTAGGTGTCTCACCTTCTCTGGAAGCTACCCAACACATTCAATGCTGGGTAGGACTAAGGGAGGTTTCTGCTTTTCCAGTCCCCAGCTACCCTCACCGCCGAAAAGGACTCTGTGTGTTTGTCTGTCCCAGCGCCTGCTCTGAAGCTGCCCATGCCAGTTCCCCAGAGAGCATTTACCCTCCAGGTGAGCAGACTTCTTACTTTTCTTCATTCTTCTTGCACACTTGTTCTTTATTCTTCCAACCCCCAGTGTAAACCTTGAACCTTGATTTACTGCTGACTCAAACCTATTTTATAGCTGATGGGACAAGATCTAGCCTTAAGATTTTAACAAGATCTTTCCTGAAGGCTCCTTCCCCTACTTGCACTTCTTTCTCTTCTGTGGCTTTGCCCTTCTGATCTTTGCTGCCATCTAATGAATGCCTAACTTCAAGACTCATCTCAGGTGTCCTTTCTCTTGAAAGTCTCTGAAGGCACGGAGCTGTTGGACTATATAGTACTGATCTGTCTCCCAGCCAGACTTCTGGTTCTGCCGCTTCCCAGTTCCCAGGCAGTCCTCATCAGGACTGTTGGAGGTCTCAAAAACTCATAAACCATGTGATAGTTCAAAACACAGTTGTAGGGTCTAAAGAGATCATATAGTGTGTAAGGCAATGCCTTGCAGGTGGCCAACCTGGATTTGATCCCCAGCATCCCATATGGTCCCCAGGAGATAATCCCTGAGCACAGGCAGGTATGGCCCAAAAAAAGGGAAAGGAAGTTTCCAGTGTTCACCTGGGCTAACTCAGGTTAGTAAGAGACTGTCCTGAATCCCAAGGTTTATAAATCCAGGAAATCAAATCCCAGTTCTAGAGCAAACAGTTCCTTCTCTCCAGAAGCCAAGACAGTTCAACATCTGTGTGAGGTCTTTGCATATTCCACTGGCTCTTTATGCACATGCTCCACTCAGATGCAAGTCTTCATGAAACCTAGATGGCTAAGGTGATTTTTCACTGGCTGCAGGCATCAAGCCTTCCTTCCACAGTTCCTCTTCCTGCTACTGGTTGCTGGTTTGAATGAAGGCAGAGCACTTTTTCCCAGACTCCTCCAACTGATTCAGCTGTTTGGGGGTCCTGTTTCTCAGTGCCTGTGAAAGAAGCCTGACTTCAAACACCAGCCAGACTCTACCCTAGCCCAACAACTCTCGTGTTCACATGATTGCTGGCTGTTTAGTCATTCCTAATTTTTCATACATAAAATATCAAGACTGAGCCCAAGTAGAACCAGGCACTGAACTATGCTTTTTTCATACTGCCCTGGGGAAACACCCATGAACTTAATCTCCAGTGACCAGACCAAGGTGACCAAAGGACTTTTGGGATTCCTTTTTTTCCCTTTCTGTGGTGCCAGGGATTGAACCCAGGACCTCACAGATCTAAGGCGAGTGCTTTTTTATTTTATTTTATTTTATCTCATTTACTTATATTTTGCTTTTTGGGTCACACCTGGCATTGCACAGGGATTTCTCCTGCCTCTGCACTCAGGAATCACTCCTGGCAGTGCTCGGAGGACCATATGGAATGCTAGAAATCGAACCCAGGTCAGACACCTGCAAGGCAAATGCCCTACCCGCTGTACTATCGCTCTGGCCCCTAAGGCGAGTGCTTTTTCCACTGAGCTACTTCCTCAGATTACTTGGGGTGTTCTAGACATTTGTCCAAGCTCCAACAGAAACTGTTCTTGCCAATATCCTCCCACCAGTTGGCAGGAGATCTGGGTGTCACTCCCAGTGAGTCACTGAGTGATTGTGTTACTCCGTTCCCAACTGATTGCAGTCTTCATCTGCCTTGTCCTCTTAGCCAGTCGCATGCCTTCTCTGTATTCTCCCTTGTAAGAGGTGGTTGTGGAATTGGAAGGCTTTAGGTTCCTTAAATCTGATGCTGATTATCTACTCTACTATAGCTAACAAGGCAGAAACCAACTTTCTGCCCTGAGGCACTGGATAGCCTGACCTCTGAACTTTCCATCCACTCAGTTAACCTACCACCAGCCTCTTGCTTACAAGCTAGCTCTGTCTGCCTCTATACCTTTCTACCTCTAGACTAACCATTCAGACCTCTCTCTTAACTACCCATGGTTCAAGTCACCTGAAGTGACAACATAATTACTTTCCTCTGTGTAGGTGAGCTCTGACCCCTCCATGTACATTGAGGTGGAGAATGAAGTGACGACTGTGGGAGGTGTGAAGCTGAGTCGCTTGAAGTGTAACCGAGAAGGGAAAGAGTGGGAGACAGTACTCACCAGCCGAATCCTCACTGCAGCCGGCAGCTGGTAAGGGCAAAAAAATCTTCACTCGACCAACTCTGAGTATAAAGGAAATATTTGCACTGCACTGAGTGGTAGTTACCATCCAGAAATGTGGCGTATCGGGGATTGGCACTATCCCCACCTGCTAGTCCCCACTGAGACTGCATCTGGCCTTGCTCCGGGCTGAGTGGGTACACCTGTTTTCTCTCTACCCGCATCACTCCTGAAGTCACATCATTAGCCTGCAGGACAAGAGAGGAAACAATCCTGAGAGGATCATCTAAGCCACAGTTTCCCAGGTGTTGTGATTCTCTGACCTTGGCTTGTTCTGTCTCTTAACCGCAGATTTTCCTCCAAGAAGGTCAGTACAAATTTCTGACTGTTATCTATAACAGTAGTGCAATGAGTAGGACACTTGCCTTGTACATAGCTGACCCAAGTTTTACCCCAGCACCTTGAGCCTGTCCTGAGTGATCCCTGAATACAGAACCGGGAATAAAACCTGAGCACCACCAGGTGTGAACACTCTACCACCACCACTACCATCATCCTAAAAAAGGGATGAGGACTGAGGATGTAGCTCTGTGATAGAGCATGTGCTTTGCATACACGAAGCCCCAGACTCTATCCCCTACACCGAAGCAAAAACAGAAAGGATAAATGACTAAATTCCTAACCTTAGGCAAGAGACCTGTATGCTGCATGGTGCCATGGGCTTTCTCTCTCCCTGACCCCCAGACAGGTGATTCACCCCAATTGGGAGCTAAGGCATACAAGCACAGACTCCTCTGTAGTGATGTAGCAACTGTTTGGAGGCCTTCCAAACAACCCCTCAAGCTCGAGTCCAACATGCAGACTTACGTGTAGACACTGCAGCCCTTTAATGATGGCTCTGCTGTGACTGTTTTAGGAAGGCTCTGACTACTGTAGATGAGCAGATAAAACTCGGTCATCTTAAGTAGACCTTTCCAAATTAAAGCATCTTAATTGCTTCTCCTGTTCCAGAGGTCACTAACAGTAGTGATTGGTTAAGAATGGCATTTGGTGACCAGAGCGATATTACAGTGGTAGGATGCTTGCTTTGCATGCAACTGACCCAGATTCAATCCCTGGCATCCCATATGGTCTTCAGAGCCAGGAGTGCAGACACCCACCCTTCATCCCACCACCACCCCGCCAAAAAAGAATGGCATTTGGTAGAACACCTTCCTTAGCTGACCTTGCTTGAGCCTGCTGCCCACGTTTGCCACAGGGATGGGATGAAGTAAAACAAAAGGGTGGCCTCTGGATCATCTGTTAGTGCCAGGATTGTCCTCTGACCTGACACTAGGTCTGTGGCTGGGCACACTCAAGGTACCTATAGACCAATCTGGAGAGATGCTTAACAGCAGTTTCTTGTGAAGTATTTCTTAGTTTTTGTTCTGTTTTGGGGCCATACCTGGCGATGCTCAGGGTTTACTCCTAGCTCTGAACTCAGGGATCACTCCTGACAGTGCCCGAGGTGCCAGGGATTCAGCCCAGGTGAGGCACATGTAAGATAAGCACCTTGCCCACGTACTCTCTCTCTTTGGCCCCTTGAAGCATTTCCTGCTCAAGATGTAAGATGTGTAACTGGAGCAATAGTTCAGGAAGAAGGGTGTTAGCCTTGCACACAGCCAACCTGGTTTCTATCCCCGGCATCCCATATGGTCCCCCAAATACCGCCAGGAGTAATTTCTGAGTGCAGAACCAGGAGTAACCCCGAGCATTGCCCAGTGTAACAGCCCCCTCCAAAAAAAGGTAATATATTTCTTCCACCTCCAGCCGAAAGATCTCTGAGCACACAACTGGTATCCCTTGTGAAGATACTTTCTCTTGTTCCACATTGGCCTGTATCATCAGTGGCCTTCTTGGCCAAGAGGCTATTAAGTGGGCACTGTGTCTCCTCATCCTGTAAGTGAAACATATCTCCTGTTCTGAGTCTCTCCAAAGTAGTCCTGTAGTCCTCCAAAGTGCCCACACTCCTCGGTTACTGTTTGTGTGCGCTCAGAAAAACTCAAGCAGCGTCTGTGAGGGAGAGTGTATTCTCTTCAGTTGGAGTTTTCCAATGTGCAACTCCAGCTCTGCTACTTGACCCCATCCCCAGCCTCATGACAGGCCTTCTCCCTCTATTATACAGAAGGGCCTACCCTCAGACATGCCACATCTTAGGATGGCTGCCTTTGCCTGCCATGTTTCCAACCCCTATGACACTTGTATCCCCTCTGCCTTCTCAGTGATGTGGTGTGTGTCGCCTGTGAAAAGAGGATGCTGTCAGTGTTCTCCACCTGTGGTCGCCGCCTCCTCCCTCCCATCCTCCTGCCGTCCCCGATCTCCACTTTGCACTGCACGGGCTCCTATGTCATGGCGCTCACTGCTGCAGCCACGCTGTCTGTCTGGTGAGAGACAGACCCAGGGTGGGATGGCCTCTAGGCCAGACAGAACAGAGGAGTGGACTCCCTTCGCTGCAGGAACAGGGAAAGGAGTAGAGAAGGCTACTCAGAAGATATGCCCTAGAGCCCTGCTGGCCTGAGAATCTTAACACTTTTAGAATGATTGGTGGGAGGTGGCGGAAAGGGGATTAAGTTAAGGGGCAAGAGGAGTAGCGCTGAGGAGGTGCTGATGGCCCATCCTGCTGCTGTGAGTCTACAGTAGCACACCAGATGACAAATCAGAATATCTAATGGAATAGGCCAGGATTCTTGCCATGAGTTTCGAAATGTAGTCACACTTCTCCCAGAGTCAGTGTGGCATGGTGATGGGCTCCACAGTTTTGTTACCTAGGCTCCGCTCTAGACCTGCAGAGGGGGAGAGTGTTGTGTGGGGGACATAGAAGCACTTGCGGTCCAGAGCATCTCTAGGGGAGGCTAGAACTGGGAACACTGTCTGACCACACAGCAGGGTCCTGAGCGCCCAGGCCCACTCTCATGTCTTTATCCTGGTTGGAGAGTAAGCTGCTCCCTGTCTTCCTTCTAGGGATGTTCACAGACAGGTGGTTGTGGTGAAAGAAGAATCTCTACACTCCATCTTGGCAGGTAATCCTTGCAGTGGGTTGCCCAAGGGTGGGGTGGGAGGTTTAACAGCTCATGTCCCAGGCCTGATACAAAGAGCTCCACTTGGTCCAGACAGTGCCAGGCTCGGGGCCGAACTAGAGATGTGCGGTACCCCAGGGACAGTTGCATCTAGGGAGGTAAACCCTCTACTGAGGCCTGTTAAATCAGTCTTGGACAGATGGTGAAAAGTCTAGTGCTTGTTCAGAGCAGAGTGGTGACTCTGCCAAGTCAGCACTTGAGGGTCCATTCTGGAACTGTGGGAACTGAGGTTCACATTTCTCCTTTGGTGCATGGACAGTCACATGTTGATCAGAACATACTCAGAACCTGTTCTTGTATGTGTGTTTCCCTAGGAAGTGACATGACAGTGTCACAGATCTTGCTGACACAGCATGGAATTCCAGTGATGAACCTGTCTGATGGGAAGGCATACTGCTTCAATCCGTCACTTTCTACGTGGTAAGTAAGCCACTCCCATGGTCATGCTCCCCTTATTCAACCCAAACCCATCCCACCCCACCCCACCCAAGGCATGTCCATCTCATTTGGAACTTAGAGCAGCAAACAAAGGCTCCCAGCCTTGGTGGTTAGACTCCTTGCTGGGCTTATCCTTAGAGTTCAGCCTGAGAGAGGCCACAGGTGCAGCCCTGCTGAAGGAGACAATTAAGATTTGCTGGTACAGACTTGGCCTTGCCCATGCCCATGGGAGACTGCCAGCCAACTCTGCCTTCCGCGCCACATTCTGCTTTATATGGAGCCATTTTATTTGGACTTGGCATTTGAACATTTTTGTGGTCATTGTTGATAGCCAGCGTGTCCTCCGTCAGCAGCACAGCCAGTTTCATTGTAGTGTTACTGCACTCAGCAATTTTTGTAGCTTAAGAGGAGCCAAGTGCCACTGACTTCCTGAATTAGCATGTTTGCATTATTATGTGTGATGGTTTCTACATTTCTTCTACCCATTTTGGAATTTAGAGTCCTTTCCCATCATTGTAAAATTTGTTTTATCAGTTAGAACTCTACCCAGGTATATAAAGAATGTACAGTGTACATCTATCTGACCCTCTGAGTTGTTCTTATCCTTTGTCTGCTCCTTTGAATCTGTACCCTAATTTGCCACCTTCCTGCCATATCCTGTAAAGAATTGCCCCACTTCTTAAAGAGATTCTTTATTGAATTTTAAAAAAGAAAGGCAAAACAGTCCCCCAAATTTCCATTTCCTTCTCTTCCAAATTGCCCAGTTTTGTGTATTTATGCAATAATATAATAAGAGAAACCAAGTCGGAACTGGAGCAGTAGTACAGTTTGTACATGGCTGACCCGGCCACCACATGTCTTCCCATACCACATATCTTCCCCAGATTCACCAGGAGTGCTCCAGGGTAACAGCCAAGAGTAAGCCCTGAGCACCTCAAACTGTGCCTGTTTCCCCACCCTTCCCCCCAAAATAGAAACAAGTCATTTAAGAAGAAATATTGTTTGGACACACAAAAGAATTAGGATCTTTCAGATAGATAGATAGATGCTCAGGGGGCCATGCAATGCTGGGAATTCAGAACCTCAACATGCTTTCAACTGAGCTGCCTCTCTGGCTCTTACTTTCCTGGGGGGCATGGGAATTAATTTTGGGGCCACACCTCACAGGGCTCTTGTACCACTCCTGAGGCCTGCTGTTTATATAACCATGCAGTACCAGAGATGAATCCAGGCCTTCTGCATGAACAGTATTTATTTGAGCCATTTCCCTGCTCACTTTTAAAGTGAGTTAAAAAAAAAAAAAAAACTGGGCGATGTGGTGGGACAGAGTGCCCAAGACTACTCCCAGCAATATTCTTTGCCTGGCTATGTGGTTCAGTGTTTGGGGTCCAATGATACAGTGCAGTGAGGGGCCAGTAGGACCACCCCAATGGTGTTCAAGGGCCAGCAGGGTATCCCTTGAGTATTAACTGATGATAAGTATTCGTCAGTTTTCCCTTATTCTGAAACCTGCCTGTGAGGGCCTGTGGTAAGGATACAGGACAGGGCTTTGCTGGTGCTCTAGCAACAGGTCACAAAGACTTGCACCTTGGTGGCCTTTCTGCCAACATTCTGGTGTTCTTGAGTTCTTTTCCTGCCTTTGCCTCAACAGGAATCTGGTTTCTGACAAGCAAGACTCCCTGGCTCAGTGTGCAGACTTCAGGAGCAGCCTGCCCTCTCAGGATGCCATGCTGTGTTCAGGACCCTTAGCCATAGTCCAAGGCCACGCCTCCACGTAAGTGACTGCAGTAAGGGGTAGTGACTGGGTTATGCAGGCATCGTCTCACCTAGGTCTGCTTCCTGATTGACTGTCCCCTGTATGCATCATCTCCTCAGCACAAGTTGCTGGGTATTATCTTGAGGGGCTCAGATGCAGGCCCTGCCACTTCAAGGCAAACATGGCAGTCTGAGGTTCTCTGAGTCATGGAGAGTCTTGATGGGCAGTATTTTGGGTCAGGGGAGTAGGCCACTGTTCTTTCAGCTCAGGGGCTTGCCAAAGTGCAGGGTGGGAGATACCTGGGGTGCTAGAGCAGCCAAGAGGCCCCTGTTCCCCTACTACCTCCTCAGTGGTACCCGTGGGTGTGCTGTGGCAGCCTTCTGCTTCGGGAGTGCTGTTTCATTATGCTCTGCTGCTCTCTACAGTTCTGGAAGGCAGGCGGCTCGTCTCTTCTCCGTGCCTCATGTGGTACAGCAGGAGACCACCCTCGCCTACTTGGAGAACCAGGTTGCAGCAGCCCTCACTCTGCAGTCCAGCCATGAGTACCGCCATTGGCTCCTCCTCTACACGCGGTACCTAGTAAATGAAGGTGAGGTCCCTGGTGGCCCCCTCCATCCTCCCAGGCCTGACTTGATCCCCATCCCAGCATGACCCTCCTGAAAGCCCATGAATTACAGCAGAGGTTTGGTGGCTCAGGGCTCTCTGTAGTTTTCTTCTTGGTCTCGAAGCGACACTCCCAAATGTCCTGGCTTCCTGCTTTCCCACCAGTGAGGTGAACCATCAGTGCCCCATCTAACAGGTCTGTGTTGTGATCTGGGTAGCTCTGCAGGCAACCAGCCCCATCCCCTGAATGAAGTAGACCCTGAGTGCCAGGAAGGAAAAAGAGTTGTGGGAGGATGCACAGGAAGACATGGCCTGAAGGAGGAGATACAGAGCTCTGGCTCCTACCCTCTATCACACCTTAGAGGGCAAATACTCAGCAAGCCAATCACCACAAGGGACAGCATCTTTTTGCAGTGTCCAGTTAGCCTGACTTCTCTTCCCTTCCTCAGTTCCTGTTCTCCTGACAGGGCCTGCCTACCTCTCCAGCCCAGCCAGGCTTCTTAAAGAACTCCTGTGTCCCCTCCCCATTATATCTAGCTCCACCTTTCCCCTTTCCCCTGCCATCTTGGTCGACAGAAAGCCTGGTGTGCCGGAAGCGGTAGCTGTACTATTCTTAGGTAACCTCCAATAACCTCTTTTTCGGAACTCTGCTAAACAAGTATTTTTCATAACAGTCTTCTCACATGAGCTTGGCCCCCAGAGCTTTTGGCCTGGGACTAGCCCTCCCTGAATACCTTCTAGTTACTGTGTAGCCACAGGTCTGGTTACAGAGGAGCCTTATGCTGCCTTTGTTTTACTTTCAAAAATCCTTCTCATTTTATTCCTGATCTGGAGGGAAGAAAATTATGTATAGAAAAGGTAGGAAAATATGCAAACCCATACACATGTAACTCTCAGAAATCACTTGCCATGGTGCTTGTGATCCTGTAACTATGTATTTCTACACCTTTGATGACAACCAATATGGTTAATAGACTCAGAGCCACCCCCCCCCCCACCCCCCGCCTCTTCTCTCTTCAGCTTTCTCTTCCTTCTCTGTCACTGTTACAGCCTAGTATGTATGGTAACTTCTCTTAAGTACTCGATCTTGCTAAGCCCTCACCTTTGTAGTGATGATTCTCACATCCTAGGCCATGTACCCTGTTCTTCAAGAATACTTCCCTGGCTCTATCCTGTTATACTTTGGTGTTGATCAGGTCAGAACCCTGCATAAACTCATTCCTTTTTTGAATCCTATGTGATCACTTCTACCAATTCTCTTCTCCCTTTTTCTGTATATCTGACCCGATCGATATCCACGCACAATTCACTTTCCTCTGGTCCTTGCTTCCTCAATAGGAAAAGAACACAAGCTTTAAAGGGAGAGCACACTCACTTTGTAAATTCCTCAGATTCTAGCTTCATCTCTTTAATTCGCCATTCTTTGGATGATTTTATCCATACCTTGTAGTTTAGTTGGCAGGTATCACCCGCCTCCAGCCTTCATGTCAGTTACTGTACCTGCTATATCCATAACCCATGAGTTGATAGGCCTATACCTGCTTCCTTCTCTTTTGCTCATTCATGCCCTCCTGGGTCGAAATTCAGCCCCTTACTGTCTCCTTCCTCCTGAAGGCTGCTTCCTGACCCTGCTGTTCTCTTACACCAGCTGTCAAAACATCTTCTCATGTTAAACTGACCAACCTGCTCCCCTCCTTCAACAATTTTCCACATTCCCCATTACTTTGGGGAGTTTATCCTAGAGCTAGTCACATCTCAGATTTCCCATGGGCCCAACATACGGGAGCCTGTTTATGTTGTCAAGGGATTGGGTGAAAAACTGTCCTTAGGTATTAGTGTCCCCAAATAAGAGATGCGCAAGAAGCATTCTGCCCATAGTAAATAAGCCTTGGTCCATTCTGCTTTGATAGATACAACTACTTAGCATATTCTTGATTTTTTATTTCTTTTTGTAATGTGTTCCTATTTCTGTTCTGTTTTGTTTTTTGTTTTTGTTTTTGTTTTTTTCTGTAATTAGGGTTTGAATACCGACTACGAGAAATATGCAAGGACTTACTGGGTCCGGTTCACTACTCCACTGGAAGCCAGTGGGAGTCAACGGTAGTGGTAGGTGCTTCTTTCATTCTTGCCACAAGAATTCTCTTGAACAGTGAAGGTTTTTTATAAGCCAAAGTGCTGTGAAATTCTTTAACGTAGAACCTCAGCATACTGCCTCAAGGCCCAACATTAGAGTGAGGGCATGATACTAGCTAGCACTGTACAATCTGGTAGGAGTGTTAACATCAGGCCTTAGGGAGCACTTAGCCACACACCTGAGATGAGGAAGGCTACCTGCTAGGGATTGTGGATTCGCTAAGTAATGAAGATGAAAGAGCCTGCCTTTGTGGAAGTCAAAGTATTCAGGGAGTCAGACATAATCAAGTAAGTAACTCAGTCCACAAGACAAGTTATACAGTATGTGTTTGCTCAGAAAGAACATCAAGACGAGTTTGCCTTCGAAAGAGCGGCCCTGGAAGACCTCAGAAGACACTGGAGATGAAATCCAAGGATCAGAATGGGCCAGCTCTGCAGAGGACTGGGGAGAGTTTACTGGTAGAAATGTTAATAAATGCAAAGAAGACTTGATCCATTGAAACTTCTTTGGCTGGAAGATGGTATTAAGCAAAGGAAGGGATGTTTTAAGTGAGGCAAGAAAGTACAGTAAGTAGATCATGCAAGGGCAGCAAGAGCTGTAAAAGGAGTTTGCACAGAGTTGATGTGAAGGACAAGAAAATAGTTTCTCTTTCGACAAGTTTTTCAACAGTCCTGCTAGGAGGTGATGGTGACTTGGATCAGTGTGATGGCCATAGAAAGGGAAAAGGAAACATTCAAAATGTATTGGAGGCATAATGAACAGGATTTGGTGAGTGGGCAAAGTAGATATGGAATGGGTAAGGTTAAGGGAGAGTTGAACATGTGGTCACTTCCAGATTCACTTGTCTTTCACAAGTGAATGCTAGTGCACAGATTGAGTTTGGAAAGAAACAGGCTGGTGAGACCCGAACCAGGCGTTGATGGAGCACCTGTTCTGACCAGGAGAGGGCAGCAGTGAGACAGGACCAGCTGAAACTCCACCATCAAAGAACTACATTATGTGGAGAGAGACTCATTCTAAACAAATGAGAATATATAATATGTTAGTAGAGGTGAATGCTGTGAAAAGAACTAGATAGGAGAATACAAATACTGGCATTTTATATTGAATGATCTAAGAAAGCCTAACTGACCAGAAATCAGGAAAAAGAGGGATAAAGTCCCATGGGTATTTGGTAGGAAAACATCCAGGCAAATATAAAGGCCTGGAGTTGAAAAGTTACAGTGCAGTAGGAACAGAATACAGATAGAAGGGTGTTGAGATCAAAAAGGTCATGGAGGGTGGGTCATCACAATGGTCTGTACTTGGGCCTCCTATATTCTTTATTGCATTTTCATTTTAATGTAATGAATCTTAATTTGAACTCCTGGGTTCAAAGTCAGTTCTTCTTAGAGCTATTAAGGTACTGTGCCACAGACTTTGGGCATCCTCTAGTGCTAATAACTCAGCCACAAATTTAATTTCCATTGCTTTTTAAATTCTTTTGGAAGCCTCTTGGTAATTTGAAACTCCACAAAATTCTATATATTTTGTTCAGTCCCGTGGGTTTTTCTAGGTTCTCTTTGATTATAGCTTTCTTTTCATTTTCCCCATCTTCAGAAAAATAGAATGTCCTATCCTTTTAAAATCCATGTCAGTTATCGTTTCAGTTCCCTCCAGATTTCAACTTACTCTTTTCATTTGCTTGAACTTAGTTATTTTATTTCAACATTGTATGTCTAGAGTTGTAGTATTGAGGCTCTCTCTGTTTCAGTTGCCTTGTCTGAGCTGGTTTACATTCATACTGTCTTATTAAGTTGTCTGGTTGATTTTACCTGTCTGCTGTATATGATATTTGAAAGTTATTTGTATAAGTGGTTTGAGATCTCAGGTGATAATGCCTTTTCCCACAGAAAACTTTCATTTGCCGCCATCAGCTCTAGAAGTACCAGCTCACAGGGTCTTCACAATCTAGTTTAGGAGTCAAAATTTCCAGGCTTCCTGAGAACTTAAAACTGGGCACTAATTGTATAGTGGCTGTCGTACTTCCAGTTTGCCTATTTCTAGAGTTCATCCCTTTGGGTACCAGCACAAAGAAAGGATGATTTTCCAGGGGCCTCCACTTTTCCAAGGGCCCTAGAGGGCCCTGTTTTGGTTCCCTTCTATTATCTGACAGAAACATAACCAGTCTCTTCTTCATGAGTAAATGTTCCGAAGACAAAGGTACCCTCTCCAGATTCCTACCTTCCTCATATTTTGTCCTGATTATTTGTCACTGAAGGTTAAATTTCTTAAGGTTTGTTTCTATTTAACCATTATTGTCCCCTTTTCTCAGCAGATAGAGTTGTTCTGAATTGGTTGATCTTATTACAGAGTTAAAGCTCTATGTTGGAGTGGGAGTTGGGGGCAACGACAAACACACCCAGCTGTGCTCAGGCTTATTCCTGGCTCTGTGTTCAGGAATCACTCCTAGTGGAGTTTGAGACCGTATGTGGTACCGGAGATCTACATGCAAGGCAAGCGCCCTACCTACTATACTGTCTCTGTGACCTCACATTTTTCTCTTTTAATTTATTCTCTTCCCTGGATCTTATGCATTTTCTGATTCATTCTGATTTCTGATTTGGTTTTTTGGTGCTCATTATTTGAGGGGTGGGGAGGATTGGGTCACACCAGGCAGTGCTCAAGGGCTGCTCATGGTTTTGTATTCAAGGTTCATACCTGATGATACTCAGGTACCATATGCAGAATTAGTGATAGAACACATGCAAGGCAAGCACCTTAACTCCTGTACTGTCTCCCCAGCTCTGTGGTCATTACTTTTGAACTTTTTCTCTTATTCAGAAGGATAGATAAGATAGCATATGTGTGTA